CTTAAATTTGAGAGTTTTTGTCTTCCAAGGAAATAGCACATAAAACTTGTTCTCTAAGTGTTGTTATAAATATGCTAACAACTTCTCTTAATAAACATCGACTGCATGAACCCTTCTGGTTTTTGTTGGACAATCTGTTATCCCTCTGCACTGCTTTTATCTATTGCAAACAAGCTCTTCAAGTTCCACATTATCAGATTCTGTGTTTCTTCTGCTAGCAAGAAGAACAGAAGGGTACCTCCTGTCATTATGGCACTTAGGGATAATGTCTGTTACAGATAAGAATGTGTCCATCCACAACACTACTGAGTATGTGAAGTCCAAAGCAATGGCTAGTTTTGAGAAATGTTACAATGTTGTCCTCACCAAAAACTTTTTGTGGAAGACAGATTGAAGAAGGCTCAAATCCTAGTTCACAATATTGGAACATATCCTTATTATTTTCTAAACGTATGTTTGGAACATATATACCCTTGCATTATTACTATGACTGTGATAGTCCACTAACATTTTGTGACCAGATTTTAAAGATGCTAACTATCTTAATGTTTCCTTGTAGCAAAGTATCATAATCCCCAAACAACATATTAAAAGCAGTCTTAAGCACTTTTTACAAACTTTGGGGGGACTATATGTTAATCATAAACACAGAAGCCATTACACTTGCACAAATCTCTTCATATTTTAATTTCACAGTACCTCTCAACCCCTAGCGACTTGTACTCTGTACTCTTTTGTGTAGCAACATGACCTCACTCAGTATTAGAATGGTCTCTCTACATTGGACTTCCTGATCTTCTTTTATCTTTCCCTTTCAACACTTTATCTTCGACCAGACAACATGGAAGGTCCTATGAATTCGGGAACTTTAGGCAATACTCCCAAAACTTTTTGGAAAGGCCTAATTTGTAATATTCCAGAAAAATACAAATGAAGTCAGGAAGATATTTTGTATTTTAAAATTCCCTCAGTGTCTGACTGACATTTAATTTCCACAGTCCTTTTTCTCTTTTCTGAGGTGTTTTCAGTGTTAAGATGTCATAACAAATAGACCTAGGCTCTTTGAACCCTGTCCCACCAAAGCTACCTTCACCCAGGAGTGATTCTTATCTTGAGGTACACCTGTTCTCCAGTGGAGGATTTGTCCCTAAACTCCAGGAAAAAGTGACAGTGTGGGATTCTAAGCTCATGCTAGCTGGGCTGAGGGAAAAAGGAGTTTGGGTAGGCAAATATTGATGAGTAATTAATGAGCATGTACTACCTACAAGATGTTATGGGTATTTGATTTATTTACAAAAGAAAAATAAAATAACCGAATATTCATTATTGTATTTTTAAGTATTATCTTCACCACCATCATCCTATTAGCACCAAAAAATGTAAGAAAAACATGATGTTAACAGTAATGTTTTCTATTGAATCAATTTAGAGCCACAAATGTGACATTCTTGTTTTTTTCGGTTCTGCTCTGAACTGGAAATTTTCTTCTAAAGAATAATCACTTAAATCAATCTTTGAAGGTGAACAGTAAAAAGAGTTATAATGGACCAAGGAGAATTTTACAGGAAATGATGGAGTCAGTTATGACTATGTGGAGAGAACACAAGGTTTGAAGACAGTCACAGATGGCTCAGGATCTTGACTCGAGCACAGACAATATTTGACCTTGAGAAACAAATATGAGCTCACAATATTGGAACTCTCTAGTAGTACTCTTGAGCAACAATATGTTAGTTGACCTTGATGATTATAAGGATATAATCATGTGATCCCTTTTAATGTTAGAAGAACTTTGTTCTCACAAAGAATCTGTAAAACACTCAGAATGGCCACAGTATGTGGAGGTTTTCTTAATTCTCCATCTGCCTCTAATACTGTTTTTTGAGGTTTTTTTTTTTTTCTTGTATTGTGTGGTAAAAGACTTTGAGAACCCAGAAGCCAAGATAGAGATAGACTAACAGATGGAGAAAGACTTTGGCAGAAATAGGGGTTAATGGAGTTTGGAGCCAAATAAAGGAATCCTTACTCCCCCTCTGCTACTGGCATATTCCCAATGCCATACCCTAAGGGGGAAAATTGCTCTGCAAGGTGCAAGAATAATATATTTTGCTATACAGATTTTTCACTGCGAGTCTTCCTCTAGCACATTAGGTTGACAATTAGTGCTTCATTATCCTCCCATCTTACAAGGAAATACAGGGCATGCTAAGCATCCAACAGTGCACATTGCAAATACATATAGACCACAGCTTCCTTGTTGCTTCTCAGATTTATATGCTAAAAACATATTGAATATTAAAACAAAATTATTATTCCAAAAGTCCCTCCTTGTTGTTAGATTTTATATTTATTATCTGTAAGTATGACCATTATTAGTATATATTCATAACACATTTCACTTAAACTTCGTACTTCACTGATGGTCTTGTTGGCATTTGGAAACTGTAAAATTGAAGAAGAGATGATAGAACCTGAAGGTCAATAGCATAGAGCCTGGTTCGTATTGCTGTAGTTTGTATCTGCATCTAATATTACTATGAGTCAGTTTGGGCAGGTTACTAACCGTTGGCTATTCATCAGCAGAATGGGAATGATGTGACAGCAGAATGCTTTGTGGATTTCTGCATTAGTGTTTGTATGACACCTAAACTTGTGTCAGAGCCAGGAGTAATAGTGCATACCTGTAATCACTGCAATCCAGAGGCATGGGCAGTAGGATCTTGAGTTTGAGCCCAGCCTTGGCTAAATAGTTAAATCCTGTCTCCAAAAAAGAAAGAAAGAAAGGAAAGAAGAGAAAAAGAAGGGGCAGGGAAAGTTGTCAGGCATGGATACATACTATAACATAGATGCCTATTTTTGATTTTTTGCTTGTTTGTTTTATCTTTTTATTTTTAAGTGAAAGTATTTTGGCTCTTTCTTTATAAAATATGCAACATCATACACATTTTCTAGGAGAAAGGAATCCATTAGGTTAACAGTATTCTTGTAATGGTCAGGATTGTCTTTGAAATTCTGGTGAATGGAACATATATGTTATCATATATGTTCTGGCTTTGATATGACGGCTCAGCTTAAACATACAAATCCATAAGTTGCTCTTTAAATAGAAGTGTGAGTTTTCTGCTTTTCCTGAACAACTGAGTCATGGGCTAGAATGCATGCTTGTGTGTGTGTGTGTGTGTGTGTGTGTGTGTATGTGTGTGTGTATGTGTGTGTGTGTGTACATAAGAATAATGTGAGAATGATGACATACACATGACATGAAAGCAAAAGAAGGCTATTTGAGTTGAGGGAGGTAAAGTTTATGACTAGAAAGAATGTGCTTTTTATAGAAGTAGTGGTTGTTCTTTGCTTGACATAGATTTGGCAACTTCTCTCAAGGTTTGTTATGCATTTTTTTTTCCTGCCCAGAAGTAGAATTTAATGAAAGTGCTAGAGGCTTCTTTATTTAGAATGTTCTTTGCCTAAGTCTTGAGAGCTGGTATTTAATGATGCAATAGATTATGGTATACCATACTGAAAATGAAGCTATAATTAAAAACAAATACCACATGGTATCCTTGAACAAACATATCATCTAAATAATCTAGTTCCTAAAGTGGATGACCTGTGTGATTCTAAGACTTTCAATCACTGGAACTCTTGGTTGATCTCTCCCTAAGATAGTATTCAAAGGTCATTCATAGGTCTCTTAATGTTCTGGACAGTGTCAGGTCACTCTCTGCCCCTAACCCGAGTTTAATTATATGCTGAAACTAAGAAAATACTAAGTTTCAGAAAAATACTTTAGTTGCATAATATGAAAATCATGTACATGCTCCTGCATACATGCCAACATTTCATGTTCTATTTCCCTATTCTCTTATCTACAAATGTATGTATCTCTCAGAGTGAAACTGACCATTGATTCTGGGTCTTTTCTACTCTTTTCTCACTAGTTTTCCCGATTAAGGAAGGCCATGCTATTTTATTTCTGTCTTGATATCTCACAGTCCTGAGGGCATGAAAAAATTTGGCACACATATTTGGTTCTTTGTTTCTGAAGAAGAAAGTCCATGATTGCTGTTGATACATATTAGCTTAGCCTAGTACCTGACTAGGATAGGCATGTCTTGTTTATAAGATGTAACTGTAGGTTTCTCTCCCATTCACCAGTTCATGCATAACCATTCTGAGGCTTACTATTAATTACAAACTGTTTGGCCTGTTATCTCATGCTTATTATTAATTAACTCTTACAACTTAAATTATCCTATTTTATTATTTCATAGTTTACTACAAGGCTTACGGCTTGTTACTTCAAATCTTGTTTTTCTGGCATCTGCTGGCATCTCTCAGATTCTGCCTTCCTTTTCCAAATCCAAATCTTTGTTTGGATTTTCCACCTGGCTCTATTCTGGCTGGCTATTAGTCAAATCAGCTTCTTTACTAACTAATGGTAATAAAATATATTCACAGCATACAGGAGGGCATCCCACATCAGTAGGAGACATAGTCATTGCATATGCTATCATCAATAGCTGATTTGTGCCTACTCAACCTTGCACATCTCTGTAAGGTACATTTTACTGACTTAGCCCACTGCATAGATCTCAGAGTCAGGGGCACCTTGCCAGGACTCACTGCTGTGCTTTTATGTATCTGTCCCTCCATGGGGGTGGGGTTGGTTCCCTTGCTTTTCTTCCCAGGCTCCCCACCTATTTAGCTGGCATGATCATAACTGACTGCACCTTAGCTTGCTCTTATGAATATTAAATAAGATTGAATAATAAGTATTTAAAACAGCATTAAGTACAAGGTAAGCTTTCATTAAATGCTGATGATAAATGATAGCAGTGGTTTAACTCATATATCATTAATGACCTTTCTGAGGACAAAATGTGACATTAAGAAAAATTAATAAATTCTAAACAAAAATGTGGAGAGAGCCTATCAGGGTAGAATGTGAAGTGCCTCTCTTTCATCCTTGAATAAGTATAAAACCAAATACTTTCTTTCAGGTGACCTGGGTATCCACAGTGGAGAAGAACTGCAGCTCACCACCACAATCACCCATGTGGATGGACCAACTGAGATCTACAAGTTGACCCGTAAAGAAGCACAGGAATAGGATGCTATGGTGCTGCACTGGGCTGGAATTGTTTCTCTATCCGGCCTCTTCTCTAGAGTGGAGAGCCTACTATATATGCAGAGTTTAGTGAAAAGTGGATGCCTAGTGCTTCTTAGGTATGGTTTCTTAGACCAGTGAGTGGACATTTGTCTGATAACTTCGGACAGTGACTTTTGCAAAATTTCTGCTACGAATATATCATGTGTGATAACAAAAACTGGTATGACCCATTGTTTGTGGTCATTGTTAAATTAGTGACATAACAACATATGTAGCAGGTGGGTTAGTAACACTCATATGGAAGGGTATATTCTTTGGGATGGTTTGGGCCAATAGGATCTATATTGGGTAGTTTACGACTTTTTATTTCCTGTTTTTGATTCTGGGATGTGTTTAAACATTGTTTGTAGTCCAACATTTGCTCATGTGTTAGCCTTTTCACCCTCCTCCATGGATACTTCTTTTTATCTTATTTATATCACCAAGTATCCAACTGAGTTATTATTTAAGTTGCGGTACAAATATTCCAATTTTTTTGTTTTGTTTTTTGTGTCTTACTACAAAATAATCAAATTTCATGAGAAGTTCTATTATTCTGGAGGGATTTCAGCTTTGAAACCAAATCTGTGTACCTGGTACTAATATGTCTGTTTGTTAGATGTGGATTTTGAGAAATATTTGCTAAACTACCGAAGTAGGATTTCTGTTATTAAACAACTTTTGGGTCATAAAAGCCTTTTTAACTACTTGCTTAAAATGTGTTTTCTTTTGATAAAATATTTCAAACAATCTCCAAAACTGTAAATCCAATCATTTGAATAAAACGAATGTAAATATGCTCTCCTTGCTGCCGCAGCAATGTTCAGGCATGCAGATTTAAGTTTGCCTGGATCATAGAGTAGCTTGCTGCTGGCAGAAATATTGACTATCTGTTCCTGGAGATTTCTGTAGCAGGTATTAAGACTTTCTAGGCTAGCAAAGAATAGGTGAAGTATCAGATGGTTTAGACCCTCATGCACACTGATCTTATTCCTGCATCCACTAAAACCTGATATTGGTTTTGTTTGTTTGTTTGTGCTTTTTTAATGATAAAGAAGCTACATGGCAGATAGAACACTAGATCCTGAATTTAGAAGATGGTTTCCTATCAAAGGTCTCTCACGTACTAGTCATGTGACCTTGTTCAAGATATCTGACATGGCTATTTTCTCACTTAGCATTCATAAAGTGTCATTGTGTGGCAAGTCACAGTGAAAAATAATGTATGTGGAAATGCTTCATCAGTTATACATTCACATAAATAGATTCCCTTTGCAATGTAACAATAATTCCATGAGTGTCATTTTTAGATAATGCTGACTGAATTGAAGTTGGTGATATATTCTTTTAAATTCACATACCTGGCAAATCCCACCCTAGGATTTTTCTAACTTTGGCTAGAACAATGATAAACAGTGACAGAAAAAAAAACCACTTAGGTTTTGGGTTTTGACTATTGTTTTTATGCTAACCTGGTAAATGTTGAATAAGTTTGTGGTCTATTGTATACAGCATTTACATACTAATCTGACACCCAAGTGTAAAGTATCAAGTATACCTTGTTCTATGTTTATAGTATGGAAGATAAGCTTCAAGCACTATAGTGACTTCCCCTTCTTGAAGATGGAATGAGGTGTCTCTATTTTTTTTTTTTGAGACAGGGTTTCTCTGTGGCTTTGGAGCCTGTCCTGGAACTAGCTCTGTGGACCAGGCTGGTCTCAAACTCACAGAGATCTGCCTGCCTCTGCCTCCCGAGTGCTGGGATTAAAGGCATGCGCCACCATCGCCCGGTGAGGTGTCTCTATTCTTTGGGATGGGTTAAGAGCCTGAGAAAGCATCAAAGAAGTATTACTTTACCCAGGGCCAAGTGATAGAGGGTATAACATTAGTAAAGTCATAGAAGCAATGAAATATCGAGAAGATCTGAGTAAGTTTGAGTGTCAAGCCTAGATAGTATTTAGAAAGACAAAAGATGAGTCCTGTGCCCTTGAAGTCAGAATACAAATGATTTTCAATGCAAGTTTTATGCAGAGAAATAGTATGGTTAGAATCACCTCTGAAACCTCTTGATGGACCCATAAATTAGATCACAGGCTAGTCAGGCAGCATTAGAGAATGTGGAGAAGTGAGGATTACTTTGGAGAAACAAAGCAGACATAGTTTGAGTGTTCTGAATGTGAACTTCTTCAAGAAGCATAGAGCAGAGTCAAATTTCAGGTCCTTGTTAAACATGGGACTAGCAGTTCCTCTATCACAAATAGAGATTCCTTATAGATATATCAGTATGTCTATGAATAGTAGAAGCCAAGTTTACCTTGAATAGGACATTCCTAGCATAGTTAATGGTTCCCAGGAAAAGTTGTATCCACCCCAAAAAGAATTGACTTGTGGAGAGCTCTAATGAAACTCTGCTTTAGGGACTTATGTTTTGCCCTAAAGTAGTTTCATTTACAAGTCCTGGAACTTAGTCTCTCTCATTAAAACCATAGGCAGTATATCCTAGTACCATTCGAATTATTCAGGGAGTCAGATCAAAGAGCATGACCTTGTGATTAGGTCCATAAAGGAAGGACAACATTTTTGGCTGGGCAAACCAGCAGAAAAGGTCGAGCACAATAGGAATGAGGAAGATTTCATGTTTGTCTAGATGGAGTTTTAACTATCACTTCACAGAGGAAACAATGAACAGAGTGTCCATGGCAGACTTAGCCACCACTGTCATCAAGAATGAGAAGTCTGCCTGGGCAGAGCATCAAAGCATCACATAAGGCTATCAGTGGTGTGCACACAAGCACATTCAATGGGGGCGAAAATGAGATAGGTTAAAAGTGTAAACGCTGAGCAGAGAAGCAGAGCAGAGTCAATTGATGGACATTCTGAGCAGTAAGAAGGAAGATGATTCCTCTGATTGGAGTCATAAATAAGGCACTAATTTTGAAATCTGAGGCCATTCGTTAAGGAAAGATGAAACAAAACCCAGAGAATATCAGTGATTAGGAGGAACTTTAAATAAGTTGATGAGTTATGTCTGAAATATTGAAAAGATACTCTCAGTGTATACAGTAGAGAAATACTAGGTGGACAGTGAAGGAGAAAATTGAGGTCAAAAGGAGATAGATTGTTTGCAGTTCTTCCTGGGTGGGCCACCAAGAAAACCTCAGTTTTAAGGAGGCAGATAAAACCTAGCCAGCTCCTGTCAGTAGAAAGTGTCTTCGAAACTCCTCAGGAAGTGAGAAAAGACTATAAGAGACAATCAGATCAGGAGACCAGAAAAAAAATACCCATGGGTACCAGTTTACATACACATCACTGTAAAAATAATTCTTACGTTACCTTAAAGGATATTGCACAAAAGTATAAAAGATTAATGTTATCTGCCTATAAAATTAAAGAACACCAATGTATTCAAAGTAGAAAATAAAATCACTTCCATTTGTCTACTGGGGTTTTGTATTTATGTTATACACATTTTCCCCTTTGGAGATGGGAATATGCATCAAAATGAAGTAAGTGGTTCTATGTACGACTCTTGTGTAGGTTAATCATTCTTCAGAACTGAGATAATTCACTCTAACAATTCTAGTGCCTGAGTTCAGGCCATACCGAGCCTTTTTAGGCACTTCCTCCTGTCTGGTAATCACTGAGGCTAACAGAAGTAGAAAGATTCTTTTTCCCCATGGGTAATGAATGGATGCAGAGAAATAGGCACCTTTTAAAGAAATTGGGTACACAGCTACCTCAGAAGTAGCTATTTTAGTGTATGACCTTTGATCAGTAAATGGTGAGTGAGCACATTTCATTGGTTTTGGTGTCACTATGAATGATACATGGGCCAGTGTTCTTCAGTACTGCCTTCTTGATTTAGGTTGACTTTTTCTAGCAGGTGTTCATCCTCAGGGCAGGTGATGAGGTCAAGTTTCCTTGCATGCTGACTGTCACAAATATACCTTTTTACCTTTATCCCTCAGGATCATTTTTATTCTGACATGTTTACAAGAGTATTTCTGGTTTCTATAAGTGTGCATACATTGTATATTACTTTTCTGTTGCTGAGATAAAACAAAATAACAAATACAGTTTATAGAAGGAAATTTTAATTTTGGTTTCCTGGTCATGGTGGAGAGGAATGTCAGGAATCAGCAGCCATGGTGACAGGAACAAAAACCTGAGAGCTCACATCTCAACCATAAGCACAAAGTAAAGAGAGAAATAGAGTAAGGTTTTAAGCTCTTAAAACTGGCCTTCAGTGAAATACTAACTCCTGCGAGGATGCCCATCCTAACCCTCCATAAGCAGATCTACCACCTGTATTTAAATTTTATTTCTCATTTAAGCCACTGCCATCTATCTCTCCCAAGAACTGGTTGATTTCTTGTTTTAAAGGAATTTCTTGGTTTGTGACTACATTAGCTTCTTTTTTGCTGACATCAGAGGGATCTTCCAGGAATATTTAAACTATTTTGTGCAAAGAGTTTCCTCTTTTTCTTACCAATGCTTTTAAATCTTAGAGTTACGAATGTCTCTCAGTGTTTGACCATGTGTTTTCTTTTTGACTTTTCATGTTTCTATTGAGAGGTCCTTTCCATCTTTCCATGTACACTCCTTTAGACACAGTTTCCAGACAGTTTCACTGTTACTGCTTATTAACTTCAGTTTTTTTCTCATTTTTCCAAAATGCTACACTAAGAATGAAGTAGTGTTCTGACTGGAACAGATCAGTGTGCAAATAACACTTCCTGTACTAAGGACCAATGCCCAAAGGTTTTGTCTGTTTCTCATGACTTGTGACTATGTCCCCACTAACACATTTAGATTTAATATTGCCATCAATACTGTGTAGTAGGAGTCCCCTCTGTATGCTGTGAATACCATTGGTTAATAAAGAACCTGTCTTGGGCCTGTGATGGGCAGAATAGAGGTAAGCAGGGAAAACTAAACTGAATGCTGGAAGAAAAAAAAGCAGAGTCAGAGAGATACCGAATAGCTGCCACCGGGAACAGACAAGCTGGAACCTTGGCAGTAAGCTACAGCCATGTGGTAATACACAGACTAAATTAAAGATGTAAATTAAATTAAGATGAAAGAGCTAGAGACACCTAGGATAGAGAAGACCCAAGGAAACAAGCTCCACCAGGAGCAGAAGCCAGGGGTAAATCCAGTCATGGGAGCCAATCCAGCCCCAGAACACTGTCAGATCAGGACTGAGCCAGCAACCAGATCCAGAGTCAGTGGTCTCCACCAAAACAGGTCCAACTCCAAACCAGGGACTTCTGCAGGAGGATATCCAGACCAAGATTTACAGAAACAGATCAAAGCCAACAGCCTATGCCAAAGTAGACCTGAGACAGCAAACTCCAGGGGAGCAGACCAAAGCACAGGAACACTGAGCTATCTCCAGGAATAGGAATAACCAATAAAGTAACTAGAACTGTGACACTGACTGTACAACGAGGAACAACCATCTGAACTTTGGATTCAGTGGCATCTAGAACATTATTCAACAGAATCTCAGACAGCCCCAACCATACCTATAGGAGAAAAAGATAAGTAGAAAAAGTAAGATCACATGCTACACCACAATGAGCAACACAACACCAGTAAAACCTAAACACCCTTCAAAAGCAAGACCTGAACAACCAAATATGGATGAACCAGAGGAAAATGATCTAAAAAGTAACCTCAAGAGACTGTTTGAAATTCTTAAAGATGAAATGAGAAATTCCCTTAAAGAAATGGAGGAAAAAAACAAACAAAAATTTGGAAGATATTAGCAAATCTTAAATTAAATCTTAATTAAAACAAAGAAAAAGAAACCAAACATATAAAAGAAACTATTCAGGACTTGAAAACAGAGGCAGAAACAATAAAGAAACACAAGCCGAAGAAATTATAGAAACAGAAATCATGAGAAAAAGATCAGGAAACACAAATGCAAACATGAACAGCAAAATACAAGAAATGGCGTAGGGAGCTGGACAGGATCGCCATTACAAGATGGCGCCGACATCCTGTCTTGTTGGAAATGAACAACTCCATATTTGGCTATGCCTTTGAGAGCAGCGTGTCCCCCGCTTCCCGCATGCACGGTGGATAAGGGTCCTTGAGCCCATCCCGAGGCGGTCTGGTGTCAGCTGTTGGTGGCAGCCAGTCACAGGGTGACCCGTGTGCCAATTCCCTATTTAAGCAGCTGCCTCAGTGCCCTCGGCCTCTCGCTTCCTGCCCTTCCCTTCCTGCCCCTCGTTTCCTGCCCCTCTCGCTTCCTGCTCCCCATCAATCAAGGGCACTCCTGTAAAGCATGATCTGAGTAGAATCCTGGTGTGGTGGTTGTTCTTTCTTGCCGGTCGAGAGGTTCGCCGCAGCTGGTGCCGAAACCCCGGGGTCTTTGGTTGCCAGGCGAGGGGCCTAAGAGGATTCAGAACTCAACATGCCGAGTGGCGACGTCGGTAAGTTTCTCCCAGTATGCTGATTTCAGTCTCCCCAAGTATGCTGTTTGCGGGAGTTGATTCTTGGGTGTTTGGTCTTGTGTTCTTGGCGTTTGTGGTGTTTGTCCTAGCCTGCTGTTTCTGGTTGCACTGCCGTCAGTTCGGCCACAGCCTCAGGGAGGAGAACAAGGTGGACATTCCGAGAGAAGGGTGGAGAGCCCTCAGTAAACACCAGGACAGTCTTTTAAAATCAGATTCAAAGGGAGAAAACTTGGATAGGCCTAAAAGAAAAAAGGAAAAGGTAAAAGAAAAGGATCCTGATACAGTCCTCCCTAAAGGGGAAGCAAATGAGAAGAAGGGAGGTCCCCTCTATCCAGTGCTCGAGGAATTTGCGGGCCTGGATCGGTCTGAGGAGGAGTTAGACCCTCAGGAGGAGGAAGAACTGGAGGAAGCCGCCGCTGGCTATGAGGAGGAAAGATATGGATGAAGGCGCCCCCCCCCCCCCCCGCACATAATGCATCAGCAGGGGTGGGTATGGGCCCATTGGCGTCTCGGGAACCACGCCCGCCCCCTGTGCCTCCATCCTATTCACAAGTGGGAGGGGGATGCCATTTTATTAAGAGATACATGGGTGCGTCTAGCGTCTACATTTCCAGTTTTTGAAGACCTACAGACTAATGAGAGATATTATGAGCCTGTATCTTATAAACAGTTAAAGGATTTAGTGGAAGCAGTTCGAACCTATGGAGTTACAGCTAGTTATACCATAGCCTTGCTGCATAGAATCACCACCACGGCCATGACTCCTACAGATTGGTTTGAGATTGCTAAGGCTTGCCTAAGTATGGGACAATTTTTGGATTTTAAATCCACTGTTACGGATAAAGCTCATGTCCAAGCTAGAATGAATGCCCAGAATAATCGTCCCCAATGGACAGCGGATATGCTTTTGGGGCAAGGGCAATGGGCTGCCAACCAGCTAGGATATCCTCAGGAGGTGTACCAACAGATTAATGATATCTGCTATAGGGCATGAAAGTCTTTAAATAATAAAGGAGAAGTCAAAGGCCACCTAACAAAGATTATTCAGGGGCCAAATGAACCCTTCTCTGATTTTGTGGCTAGAATGCTTGATATGGCTGGAAAAATTGTTGGGGATATGGATCAGGTGATGCCATTGGTACAGATTGTTTTTGAACAGAGTACGAAGAAATGTCAGGGGGCCATTACTCCTGTTAAAGAGAAGGGAATTGAGGCCTGGCTGAAAGCCTGCTGAGAGATTGGAGGGCCCCTTGCCAATGCAGGCCTAGCGGCTGCTGTTTTATCTGCTACTCAGGCCACAAAGACCAGAAAAGGAGGAGGATGTTTCAAATGTGGACAACAAGGGCATATTAGGAGACAATGCCCATTACTGAAAGGGCTGTCTTCTCGGGCTCAGACTCCTAATGTAAGACAACCCGGCCTTTGCCCAAGATGTAAGAGAGGGAAGCTTTGGGTCAATGAATGCCAGTCTCTTAAGGACATCAATGGGCAGCCCGTTGTACAGCTCAGTGGCCAGGAGTCAAAAAACGGGTTAAAGGGCCCCCATCCCCAGGGCCCAAAAATTTATGGGGCACTGCAGCAGACCACCATTCCCAACCCTACTGTATCCGCCGAGCAACCTCAGGCTCAGCAGGGTTGGACCTCCGTGCCTCCACCGGACTGGTATTAACCCAGGAGACGGGAATTCAGGTGGTTGATTCTGACATGTATGGCCCATTAGAAAAAGGAACAGTGGGGATTGTCTTAGGGCGATCCTCATCCACTATAAAAGGCTTGATTGTCTTTCCAGGAGTCATTGATTCCGATTATACTGGAGTGATTAAGAACCTGTGTCATTCTTCCTGTGGCGTGATTTCTATTGTGCCAGGGGACAGGATTGCCCAACTGCTTATACTACCATCTAAGCATGAGACCTTTCCTGCACATCTTAAGGAAAGGAATGACAGGGGGTTGGGCTCCACTGGAGTGGACCTT